ATTTGGATGGGACGGGTTAGGTGTTGTGTCTTATTGTTTAGTTATTTATTATCAGAATTATATATCATTTAATTCAGGTATGGCTACAGTACTAAGAAATCGAATTGGTGATATTGGTTTATTAATATCTATTGCTTTATTAAGAGTTAAAGGTAGGTGAAATCTATGAATGTATAGAAATTGTTCTGTAATTATTATTTTTATATTATTTTTAGCAGCAATTACTAAGAGGGCTCAAATTCCATTTTCTTCTTGATTGCCTATGGCTATAGCTGCTCCGACACCAGTTTCGGCTTTAGTTCATTCATCTACTTTGGTTACAGCAGGGGTTTATTTAATAATTCGTTATAATGAATTATTAATAAGGTCTGAGATTAATTATTATTTATTATTTTTATCTGTTTTAACTATATTTATATCAGGAATTATAGCTAATTTTGAGTATGATTTAAAGAAAATTATTGCTTTATTAACATTAAGTCAATTAGGATTAATAATAATTATTTTAAGATTTGGATATTATGAGTTAGCTTTTTTTTCATTTTATTAAATTTCTATTGCTAGTTTTTAAATCTATTATTATTTATATGTGCGGTAATTATTATTCATTCTATAGGTAATTGCCAGGATATTCGGTTAATTGGAAATTTAAATAATATTATTCCTTTTACTATAATAAGATTTTTAATTTCAAGATTAGCATTATGTGGGTTTCCATTTATAGCAGGATTTTTATTACAAAAGATTTGCTTATAGAAATTATTTATATTTTGAAAAATAATGTTTTATTATTATTAATGATATTAATATCTTTAAGTTTTACTGTTATATATTCAATTCGTTTAATTTATTTTATTTATTTTATAAAATTTAAATATTATAGATATATGAATTTTAATGAGGATAAAGTTATAAATATGTCAATATGTATTTTAGTTTTATTAAGTATTATAGTAGGTTCACTATTAAGTTGTAATTTTTTTTTTGATTTTTATATGGTTGTGTTACATTTTAATATAAAATTAATAACATTATTTATATGTATAATTGGTTTACTGAGTCGGAGA